TATAAAAAAAATATGTGCTCAGCACCTGAGTAATGGTTTCTTTCCCTCTTGATTTCTGTATCTCATATTTAACACTGTCAGAAGTTTTAATCAGCTAGATGTTATGCAATTATCCTCACTTTAATGTTTCCACTACGTGTAGTATATAAGATGTGAACAAAATAATATCAAGTTGAGTCATCCCAGGACCTCATAGACATTAGGATAAACAGGTCTCTCTGGTCTTTGGAATTTACCTCACAGTTCAAACAAACATGGCCACCTCGCCTGCCTTTTAAAAGTCTGATCCTTCCACATTGAGCCTTATTTGATACTTCTCCACACTTTTACCTTAACTTTAAACATAAAGAAAACAAAGAAATAATTTTGGCAAAACAATACTGTCTTTCTGTAATGCTTAAGGGAACTAACCAGCTGTTTTCTACAGTATTACAAACAAAGACAGTGGGTAAAAACTACAGCACAAGGGGTTTATACTTCCCAGGGTGAAGGTCATTGCCACAGAAGGAGTAACCCTCCACTCAAAACCGTATGGTCCAACTTTTTCTGCAGTGGTTTAAGATTAAAGGATAGGTTCATTTCTCTCACCAGTTAAGCTGTTCCTAAGGACAGAGGGGGAGACTCATAGACCTCTCCAACACTCCATGATTTCAGTTTTGCAATGTGTAAAAAACAACTCTTTACAAGTTGGGTAAAAAGTCATAGAATTTGAACCAGATCTCACCAAGAGAACATGCCATCTTGGCAGAATGCAAGGTTTGAATAAAACATATTGTACAAGAAAAATTCCAACAGATTACATTGACTTTTCTTTGCTTTTACACTTCTGAAAACATGGCCACATATTGTCTCTGCAAGTCCCTGCTTACTTTTATTTTAAGCAAGCAATCAAATTGAGTTTTTCCTCCTTAATTCAGCTGCTCATGAGAGACCCAAACACATTTCTAAGAATATAGAATTCAGACAGTTTCTGTGACCCCAACCCAAAATATATCTTTAATTATTTTGGGAAAAAACTAATGACTTCACCTATGCAGAATAACTTTCTTTTCAGCATTTATGTAGCAGTTGGTGGTTATAGATTTATAATTATGTCCTAGAACAGGTTAAAAATATTTACAAAAACCTCAATATTCAATGTGAAAAAGCTGCAATATATTAATATGGGATATACGCTCTTCCCATCAACTCCCTATCTCATTGAAGTCCAAGCATACTATGAAGTGGTTTACTACCAAAGTACTCAAAATACTAAGAGATTTGAAGAGAGAAACCTTGATGTGTACAAGAACATGCTTGCATTTGCAATTTTCCAATTCACACTCACACAACACTCATTTTCTTAGAGCCTCCAAATAACGACATAATTTATTTATTAGAGGTCTCACATTTCAAAATCTTATCATAAGGCTGGGTAGAAAAACTGTTCATTGTCTATTTACATTAAAACAACCAGGTATAAATGGATTATATTTTTTCCCAAATATATATCTTTGGCCCCTTGAATTTTTTCTTTTTTTTTTTTTATTTCTTTTTTTTTTTATTAGATAATAAATTTTATTCTTATATTCCCCATACAATTGCAGCCCCCCCATTCTGACCCCAATCCCTCCCCTCCCGCCCCTGCCCCCCTAAAAGTGTCTCTGGTTCATAGTTTTTTGTTGATTTTGATTTTCACTTTCTTATAGTTATTCATTTTCCTGGTCCCTTATTTAAGTTTTCTAGATTCCTGCTATGAGTGAGACCATCCGGTATTTTTCTTTTTCTTTTTGGCTTATTTTGCTGAGCATGATCCCTTCCAGCGCCATCCATGTTGCTGCAAATTGCATGTGTTTATCTTTTTTGAATGCTGAGTAATATTCCATGGTATATATGTACCACATCTTCTTGATCCAGTCATCTATTTTTGGGCATTTGGGTTGTTTCCAAAGCTTAGCTATTGTAAACAGTGCTGCTATAAACATAGGGGTGCAGGTGTTCTTTGGAATGGATGTTTCTGTGTCCTTTGGGTAAATACCTAGGAGTGGAATTGCTGGATCATATGGAAGCTCTATGTTTAGTAGGTCCAGAAATCTCCACACAGCTTTCCACAATGGTTGGACCAGTTTGCACTCCCACCAACAGTGCAGAAGAGTTCCTTTTTCTCCACACCCTCGCCAACATTTGTTGTTGCTAGTTTTTTTAATATGTGCCATTCTCACTGGTGTAAGATGGTATCTCATGGTAGTTTTGATTTGCATTTCCCTGATGGCAAGTGATGTTGAACATTTTTTCATATGCCTGTTGGCCATTTGCATTTCCTCTTCAGAGAAGTTTCTTTTTAGCTCTTCTGCCCATTTTTTGACTGGATTATTTTCTTTGTTGTTGTTGAGTCTCATCAGCTCTTTGCAGATTTTTGTGATCAGTCCTTTATCATTAGTGTTGGGTGAAAAAATGTTCTCCCAGTTGGTGGGGTTTCTCTTTGTTTTTGTTATTGTCTCTTTTGCTGTGCAGAAGCTCTTTAATTTGATGTAGTCCCAGCTGTTTATCTTTGCCTTCACTATCACTGCTTTGGGTGATGTGTCTGTAAAGATGTCTTTGATGTGCAAATCACGTAGTGTTTCGCCTATATTTCCTTCTATATATTTTATGGTTTCAGGTCTTATGTCTAATTCTTTAATCCATTTTGAGTTGATTTTTGTGTATGGTATGAGGTAGTGGTCAAGCTTCATTCTTTTGCATGTAGCGACCCAGTTTCCCAGCACCATTTATTGAACAAACTTTCTTTGCTCCAATGCATAGTCTTTGCTCCTTTGTCAAAGATTAGTTGACCATAAATCTGTGGGTTTATTTCTGGATTTTCTATTCAATTCCATTGGTCTGTATGTCTGTTCTTGTTCCAATACCATGCAGTTTTGATGATTATGGCTTTGTAGTAGAGTTTGAAGTCTGGGAGTGTGATGCCTCCATTCCCTTCTTTTTTTTTCAGGAGAGCTTTGGCTATTCGGGGTTTTTTGTGATTCCATATGAATTTCATCAATAATTGTTCTATTTCTTTGAAGAATGACATTGAAATTTTGATTGGAATAGCATTGAATCTGTATATTGCTTTTGGAAGGATGGCCATTTTAATAATGTTTATTCTTCCAATCCATGAGCAGGGGATATCTCTCCATTTCTTTGTGTCTTCTTCTATTTCTTTTAACAGTGTTTTATAGTTTTCTTTGTATAGGTCCTTTACCTCTTTTGTTAGATTTATTCCCAAATATTTGATTTTTTTTGTTTCAATAACGAAAGGGATGGTTTTTTTGATTTCTTCTTCTTCAGATTTATTGTTTGTGTATAGGAAGGCTACTGACTTTTGCGTGTTGATTTTGTATCCTGCCACTTTACTGAACTGATTGATGAGTTGAATTAGCTTTTCTGTGGAGTTTTTGGGGTTCTCTATGTATAATATCATATCGTCTGCAAATAGTGATAGTTTGACTTCTTCTTTTCCTATTTGGATTCCTTGGATGTCTTTATCTTGTCTTATTGCCCTGGCTAGGACTTCCAGTATTATATTGAAAAGCAGTGGTGAGAGTGGACATCCTTGTCTTGTTCCAGATCTTAATGGAATTCCCTTGAATTTTTTCTTAAATGTTTTCCAGAAGTAAATAAGAACTATTATTCCATTCAAACTTTGTATTTTCTTTGGGAAAGTAAAGGAGGTTCTAGAAGATAAGTTGACTTCATAATAATGACAAGATCAAACGCGCATATTAAAAAAAAAAAGTAGACTATTCATTTTTTAAACTTAAATGTGTAGGCCCAGAGAACATAGAACAAATAAAAATATTTGTTAGAGACTTGGTAACATCATACATTTTGGAAGGGGATGTAAAATGAACAATGCAGAGTAAAACTCATCTAACATTTTTTAGCTGGCATCATTTAATCATTTTTCAGTATTCCATTCTCATAATAATTTTCTTCTAATTTCTTCAATGCTAATAATTTTTCAGAGAAGACTAGAGATTAGTTAAGATGGGAGAATCAATCAGAAAGAGGTAACATTAAAAGGAATTACTCTCTCTTTTATTCTCTTTCAGTGTTTCAGGGCATAATAGAAAGTAAAGTTTTAGCATACTGGAATTAGTTTCAAGGTGATTAAAACTGTCACACAACAGACAGAATCAAATATGTGTCACTGCTCCATTATTTAGTATTCTTATTTTTTGTATGTTTATGCCTCCATATCTGTGACAAGCAGAGTCAGGCAGGGCGGAAGCTGATTTAGAGGGGCAAGAATATAGACATCAATGATTATTTTCTGACTTATTAGTGCACACATTGTACCAACTCCTTTCAAATGCATTATTAACTCATTCTAGGTTCTGTACGGTTCTAGAGAGTTGTGGTTATAACTTTATTTTACAGATAAATAAAATCTTAGCCTGGTTAAATAATTGGTCTAAATTAACTTGTAAGCTGTTGAGCAGGATTTGAACAAAAAATCATGCTTTTGTCTTTCCAATATCTTCCTGCAGGTAAAAACAAGGTTTGGTACCAGAAAAAAGAAAGAGCAATATATAGGCATGGTCAGTTTGGAAATACTATCTTTAAAAAAAAAAGCTGAAAAATGCAGGTTGATGGTTGAGTCACAGTATAGAGCAGTCACTTACAAAATACTAGTTGTAAAGCCTTTTGTCCATATTCTATAAAATCAAAAATATGTTCTTTATAAGATAAGTATTTATTACAGAATTAAGAAGCCTGAAAGTAGAAAAGTGCCTTGTGAACTGAAATGAGAAAAGGCAAGTCTGTTATTGATTCTTCACTCTTGGAATCTCATTAGCTATCAGAATGAACTTGATGGCTTCCAACAAGCAAACAACCCTTTCCCTCCCCCTCCAGTCTAAGCTGTTAAGCTGCCTGAAGCCACCAAATACAGATTAGTCTGAAATGCACTTATTGTTCCTGCTGGAAGTAGTTAAAAAAATCAGCCTCACATACAAGTATTCTTTTTCTCTTTCCTTCAGGCTGCTAAAGGATGCACAGAATGAAACTTATTTTAAAAGCTGGTATCAGAAGCTGTTGGCTGCTGTCCAATTCTGTGCGGGAAAAGCCTTAAGTGATGAGTTTTCCAAGGAGAGGAAACTTATCAAAATTCTAGGGGACATCGGTGAAAAAGTCAAGTCTTCCATTGACCCTCAAAGACAGGTTTGTTGAAAGATCGATCTTCATATAGTGAAGTTGTTTTTCCAAATCTTCAATTAAGTTTGAAATTCCTTCACTAAACAAATTTCTTGACTACATTTAGCTATAAGATATAACTTTAAATTTTATCAAGTATTTATTTTCAATTTACAAACTAATGATTAATGTCTATCATCAGGATGTAGGTTTATATAAGTGTGTACGTGTGTGTGTGTGTGTGTGTCGCCATGTAGCACACAAAGTGTACCTAACAAGAAAAGCTCAACTTAAAGGCCATTTGCCTAAAAGACCAGACAAAATAATCTCCAAAAATTTCGATAAAACTCTGGCTCAGGGGAGAAGTCTGAGGGGCATTTTAGGGGTACCTTTGTTCAAAGTACAGCATCTAGGTCTAGATTTTTCTAACACTGCACTCACCAAATCTACATATTTTTGCCAAACAAATAAAATAAATGAAATGAAACAAATCAATAGTGGAATGAAGAGTAACATTTTTACTAAGCTTTGGATGACAGTCAAAATATTGTGCCTCTTTCATCACTGATTATAGTAATGGACCTGGCAATTCTTTTTCTTGATCTAATGGAAGAATATTTGCTCTATTTAAATGTCTGCATTATTAGTTCCTTTTTCATTGATATAGACCATTAAGTAAATTCTCTGCGATTCAACATTCCAGATGCAGTAAAGTAGTGGACATATATTCATTGTATTTAAGAACATCTGAATAACAACTGAGTATGTCCTACAGACTCACAGTTAAGGATAAAAAGAGGTTTAAAACATAAATGTAGTCCTCAAGGGGGTTCATACATTTCCTCCACCCACTGTCTAAAATCAATGAAAGTTTTCAACAAAATGATAGGAAAATAGTAACAAGTAATGTCCCTGAAATCTTTCCCAGGCCAAGATTTTTCTTCCCAGAAGTCATTTTGTTTAGTGAAATGCCAGAAATGACTCTACTTCACCTACCTAGGAAAAATGGAAAATGAAGCGCTTAAGCATAGTATTTATTTTTAAATAGGGACATATATAGACTTTTGATACAAGGAAGAGGCTTAAGGCATGTAACTTGATGAGCAATATAATAACTTTATTATTGCTATATTACTACAAATTATTATTTTCTAGTGCTATACAAAAAATTGTCTAGTGTTGGACAATTTATTGTACACTAGAAAATTTATAAAAAGGGTTTATAGGTTTGGTTTTTATCCATGTTTCAAAACCCCTCACATATTTAATAAGTTTATTACTGGTTGTCTTTTTACCATTTGCACCAAGTTGCAAAGTAGTATTGGCATTACTCTCTCCAATAGCTAGTAAGTTGACTGACTGCTTTTGTGATAACACTTCTTCAAATGAAAATAGAAAGAGAAAAAGAAAGAGAGGGAGAAACATTTATAATTTCTCATAATTTGTTACTGGTAGATATATTTTTCTATTTTTTTTCTTTTTAAAAAAAAGCACTAATTAAGTCTACCTCTGTGCAAAGAGAGATGAGATTCTCAGGCAAATCTAGGACAGACAGAAGGAGGACAGACAGAAACAATGCCTCAGAGGAATTGTGTCTCAATTCCACCTTGCTCTGAATTCTGGGAGAAGAAGATCCTATTATTTGTCAATGAGCCAGAAGTAAGAGCTGATAAACTAGTGACAATTAAGTAAACATTATTAATCTGATGTCCTTATTTTAAGAATTGGGTTTAAAGAATTTTCAAATGCAGGCTAAAGGAGTTTTTAATGAATTATTACTGCTTTTCCTTTCCTTTTGTCAGAGAAGGTGGTGTTAGGGTGTCAGACCTCTCATACACACAAAGCACTATGGAAAGGAGTGAATCAAGTATCAGCAATATACTCATGGGTGCTGAGTAATTTATTTGTTCTTAGAAATTATTGTTTCTGATTGTGTTATCAGCAATTACCATTTTTTGTCACTGTTGCTCCTTATATGAATATTTTTCTAAAATGTACAATTCCTACTAAGCATACATCTTGAGGGTTACAAACTAAAGATTTCAGGGAATTGTCAGAAATGGAGCACATTGATGATTATTTAAAGCAGGAATTACAAATTGGTGGGCCACAGGTCAAGTCGAACACATGGTGTTTTGTTTGAAGAGTACAGTGCTTTGTTCTGGTTTAGTTTTTAATTGAATTTAAAATCCCTGAGAAAGGGCATGCACTCTTTAGTTCCCTATTTTCCCCAACACTCCCTTTTGTCTTTAGCCTACTACCTCCTCATATGTCATTACATCACCTAGCTGACCCCAAAGCATCCAAGTTTGCAACCCTTGCGTTAAAGGTTATTTAATCAATAAAAGAAAATTATAACTTGAAGGAAAAGTCAAGTTTCTTAAATGCTTTTTCTAATGATTTTTCACAGGAGGTACTGAAGAAAGAGACTGGTAGATTAGAAGAATTTTTTCAGTATATTAATACCTGCCACCTTCCTCTGAACCCTGCCCTATGCATAAAAGGGATTGATCGTGATGTAAGTTATTCAGTAGATGAATTAAATGTTTTTGTTTTGTATTGCTTAGTTCACTGTATATTTTTGAAATGGCAAAAGCAATTTATAAATTTATATTGCAATTATTTCTTTTAAAAAGTGACTTAATTTCATTGAAACTGTGTTCCTTTTGATGCACTGTGGCCAGTTCGGATCACATTGACATCACATTTGTTGGTTAAGAAACAAGCTATCCATGAGTTCAGTGGGGGAAAAAAAAAAGATTCTTCTCACTGAATTGATTTCTCAATTTATTCAAAACTGGTTGATTTGCTGACCCCATGCAGACTGGTTTTAATTTCATGCTTATTTATATTATGTGCATACCATGCTTAGTACAGTGGTGTATCATTAGCTATGACACCTCAAATTTGATTCAAGTTAAAATTTATTGATGCTCATGTGTCAGTGTGCTATCTAATATATTTTGTGATATTTTACCTGGAAAGCCCTTCCTGGCGTTGTGATGTTCACAGACTCTTTCTCTTCCTACACATCTGTCAGAACAACTTTCTCTTAGAATCATTATTTCTTCTCTGTTCACCATGAGTTTTATTATCTTCTTCCACAAAGGTCCAAGAATAGAAGACACTAATAGAGAAAGGGATTGACAAGTGAAATTTAGAAGTAAAGAGGTTAGTCATGCATCCATAATAAATATTGTATAACTAAAGTCATAAGACATCAAGAAATCAAATCCACTAATCAGCAAAAAAAAAATTAGACAATTTTAGTGCAAATATAAAATTTGTACTAAAACTTTGATACCATCACTTTTGCAACTTTGCTGCTATAAAGACATTCTATAAATTTTCCATACAAATTGTTTAAAGAACAGAATGATTTTTTTTCTTTTAAAATTATATCTGAGTTTTGACTGTGTGGGTCTTAGGGATATGGTACAACTTGGCTTTAATGGGTGGTGTTGTGGATGCCCAAGAGAGCTGACTGAGCCAGGAGTTAACCACCTAGGAGTCACTAAACCTAGCAGTGTGACTGAAACCACACTGCTTTCCACACTGAAGCCTGTGGTGCTCTCCCTGAGGCTGAAAAGTACTCCAAGGAGAGCCACCTCTTTGCCCCATTTGTTCTAACAGCTATGACCAAGGGGCTGGACACTGATGGCACCTATGGGTATGGCAATGAACAAGGCAGATATGACCAGGTAACAACTGAAGATTGGATGAATGTGGCGAAGTTCCAATCAAAGCCTATATGTGGTTGGCCATCAGAAGATCCTTACCGAAATAACTATGAGTGCAATGAGTATGATAAGATCTTCAGGCAGACTTCTCAGCCAATGACTTGTCTGAGAATCCACTGAGGGGAGAAAACTTATAAACGGACCCAGTATGGGAAGTCCTGTTATCACTATTCTCATCTAATTCAATACCAGATATATTATAGTTCATAGAAACCCTATAAATAAATGTGATGGGTGTGTAAAAGCCTTCATTCAGAGTTGCCTACTCCTGACCATCAGAACCATACTGAGGAGAAGGCTTATGCAGGTAATGAGTATATTAGGTCTTCCTTTAGTGTCAAATCCTTGTCCAAAATCAAGTAGTTCAAACAGGAGATAAACTTTGCAGTTCATATGAGTGTGGGAATGCTCTCTATCCTAACAGAAATCCATTTGAAAGGCCACACTGAGAAGACTTATGAATATAATGAGCATAGTAATACCCTCAGTAAGAGCAAAGTCTCATTTGACATTTGACTTCTCTGACTCCAGACTTGGGAAAAAGCACATAGGCAGTGTGGAAAAACCTTCAATTAGAGCTCTCAACTTATTGGCTATGAGCAAATTTATACTAAAGAAAAATCTTTTGAATTAAGTGAGGCAAGGCATTCAAACTGTGTAAGTGTCCTATTTTATGTCACAGACTTCACACAGACAAAAAGCTGTTTAATGTGGAAATATATAATCAAGACACACTTCATTATATATCAGATATTCACAGTAGTGAGAAAGCCTATGAATGTAACAAGCATGGGAGGGCCCTCGGTTATAGTGCCAGACTTATGGTACATCAAAGAGCCCATTCTGGGGAGAAATATTATAACTGCAATAATTGTAGGGAAGCCATTAGTGGCAGTTATCAGCTTATCGGGCTTCAGAGTAGTCACACAAATGTAGTTAAGTATGAACTACATGGAGAAGCCCTCAGCCCTGGTTCAATACATTTCTTAAAGCATTGCATTTTTTTTTTTTTTAAGATTTATTTATTTATTTATACAAGCAGTGGGTACAGTCAAAAGCCTGGGAGGGTGAGAGAATTCACCAGAGCCAGAGTGGGGAACAGAACAGGCAGACCGACGAAATACACTGCTGAGGGGAGCAGCAGGCGGCAGGAGAGGTCTGCACACCATGTGGGACCCTCTCCGGCAGCCGGGGATCGAACCGGCGCTGCAGAGGCTGCGGGCAGTTTCACAGCCCAGCGCTCAACCGCTGCACCACTAGGGGAGGCCCTTAAAGCATGGCATTTTAAGGCAGTTGGTGGGTTTTAGGTTTGAGTTAAGCACTCTTCATGAGAAGAGTTCTCACACTTGTCTCTTTTCGGACTCAATAATTATAATACGGACTTCCCTTTTTGTCACTAAGGAGTGGACCAGATTGGAGAATGGGAGTAACTTAATACAATCCTTCTCCACTATGGGGAAAGTAAGGACCAGATTTCTTTTTTACTTTTCCTTTAAAAAAATATTTAAAATCTGTTGCATTAGTGTGTACTTCTCAAGAACTGATGTCATATCTTCCTTTCTCTATTCCTGCTCTCCTGTCTCACCATTCACATAGAATCATCCTCTAAGATTCTGATTCATTCTTTCCAGTTCCTTGCTATGACCCTCCCATTCCACTTTTAGCTTCTATTCTAACCTTTGCTTGCCTTTCCCCACATATAGAAGACAAAAACTTGGGCCTCCCCGGTGGCGCAGAGGGTTGAGCACAGTGCTGTGAAGCTCTGCAGTGCGGGTTCGATCCCGGGTGGCGAGAATCACACATGGCACAGCAGACCTCTCATGTCTCGCCTGTCTCGCCTGCCTCGCCTGCTGCTCCCCTCAGCAGTGTATTTCGGTCATCTACCTGCTCTGCTCCCTGCTCTGACTCTGGTTAATCCTCTCACCCTCCCGTGCCTCTGGCCTGTACCCAAGCTCTTGTACAAAAATAAATACATCTTAAAAAAAAAAAAAAAAAGAAGACAGGGCCCCCGCTGGTGGCGCAGCGGTTGAGCACTGGGCTGCGAAGCTGCCTGAAGCCTCTGCAGCGCCGGTTCGATCCCTCCTCGCCAGCAAGGATCCCACATGGCGCGACAGACCACTCCTGCTGCGCCCGCTGCTCCCCTCAGCAGTTACTGCTCCCCTCAATGTCACTCTGCCTTTTCTGTTCCCTGCTCTGGCTCTGGTGAATTCTCTCACCCTCCCGCATTTCTGACTGTACCCAGTGCTTGTATAAATAAGTAAATAAATCTTAAGAAAAAAAAAAAGACAAAAACTTTTCTTCTACATGCTTGCTAATGGTAAGTTTCTTATATGCTAAATCCAGCTCATCTCTGAGACTTTTCTTCTTCAAATGCTTCTTCACTCAACTGTGATAAACTGCCTTGTAAATGATTCTCAACTCAATGCTTATGTATATGCAGTCATACTAACACTTTGTTGGCTCTTCGAGAATGGATATGGTATCTCTTTCTGTTAGCATATGGATAATGGTTTGTGTAGACTAGTAGAATATATAATAGTTTGAGCTGACTCTCAAAAATATATTACTTGTAAAAAATAAAATATGAAGCAATGAAGGCAAAATATCTCTGATATGGTTAAGAAGAGGCTAAGCCTTGCCTTCAGCTTCCATTTGCCCTTAGTTTCTTTCCTTGACGTGGACTGTCTCAAGATGCCCAGAATTAAATGAGCAGAGTTTGAAAAACACTGATATAGACTCATTTCTGATTTACTACAGGACTTCCTAATTCAATACCAAGACAGAAAAGCTTAAGTTTCCTGACTGCTACTTGAACAAGAATGTGTAACTTAATTAACAACCTTACCCATTTCCTGTTGAACTCAAATTGATTCAGTAAACTCGGGTTTCTTTTTTGCTTAGGGATTAGATTAGAATTATATTGATAGGATAAATTAAGAAAAAGATCCTTTCTTCTCAGCTTCTATCTATTTCAGACTTCTCAGAAATAAAGATATTGAAATTGATCTTTCAATATATATTGATGTCATATTTTACTAAGTTGACAAATTGAAAGTATCATCTTTTTTTTTTCCTTTTTTAGTATTGATTTATATTTTCACTGTCTACATGAACTCTTTACTAGCCTAAAGACATGCAACCATTTAACACTCAAACAATTATAAGGACATAAAAGGGAAATCAAAACAAGGAAAAACCTAATAGAAAGTAGTCAATATTGTAAAGATGAAAATGCAAAATGTAATTGAAAGAAATTATCAGAAAATAAATGTTGTACTGTATTTGTAAACATAAGCAAATACTCATTAACAAAAAGAAGAAAAGAACACACTAACTTTCCAAAGTACTTGATTAGTTTACATACTGTAAAAGACATTTTATACTCATTAAATTAATATAGTCATACATTCATTAGCTCATATATCGATTACAAAAATGTGTAGGGGTTATTATCTCATGGCAGAGCATAAGATAATAAGAGACATGTTAAGGTAAGATAATGAGACATGTTAAGGAATTTGCCCATGCTTCCTTAAAGTATGCTAGTCAGCAGAAATAATGAAAAGAATACAATTCTTTCAATAACAATTTTATTTTTATATTTTTTATACTTGATCTTAGCCAAAATGCTGAGAAGCAAATTTTATATTTTTTAAAGATTTTATTTACTTTTGCATAAAACTGGCAGGACAGAGGTGCAGTGGGTGAGAGGATTTACCAAAGACAGAGTGGGGAACTACTGAAATACACTGCTAAGGGGAGCAGGAGGCAAGACAGGAGAGGTCTGTTGTGCCATGTGGGTCCAGCTCCCTGGCCAGGGATCCACTCAGGTCATCAAAGTGGGCCTTCATGGTGGTAGCACTGAAACCTAACCCCTTGGCCACCAGGGAGGCCCAATAATTTTATTTTTACATACTAATCAAGTAGAATAAACACAATACCTACATATTGCTTAGTTTATTTAAACTTTGAATGTCACAATATACTGTTCAGTAAGGGGGAAAAAAGTAAAGATTCACAACCTGCCAGAAAGCTAGGTTTGCAGTTTCTAAATTAAAGGCTTTGGTTGAGAGATTGAAGTTTTTCTTAGAAAATATGTTTCTTTGTTCCAAAGTGTAAAATGTATTCATATGTGTTACATTTCTCATATAACATCCTGCAAGGGACCATGATTTCAGGGAAATTGTTCAGTTTGTTTTTTTCTGCTCACTGTTTTCCTCTTCTCTTCCTATAGGCATGTTCATATTTTACATCCAATGCTCTGCCATTGAAGATAACTTTCATCAATGCTAATCCAATGGGCAAAAACATCAGTGTTATTTTTAAGGTATAGTAACACTCCTAAAACATCAGAGTGAGTCCATAGGTAGATCTATTGATTGATTACACTTGAGAAGAAATTATCAGAGCCATTTTCCTCTGGCAACAACACAGAGGATTTCAATTATTTTAGATTCTGCATTTTTACAGAATTATAAAACATGCCAAACCATCATTGGCAATAAATCAACCATTGCTGCCTTAAAGCCAGTGAACACTCCCTGCAAAACAAGAAAATATGTTTTAATAAATGTAATTATATAATCATTAATGAGTAGACAAAAAGTAGATGGTGGTGAGCCCCTAGGGTAAGTTTTTTTTTTTGACCTAGATATTAATTAGAATCAAAGTTAGTTGACATTTAAATGATATACATTAATTTAACATAAAATTCTCATCTGCAAGAACTTGATTGTTTTAATAATTTGGGTTGTTCTCTTCTTCAGAAATAAAAAAAATTACATGTGGGCCATTTCAGTCTCTATCTTGAAAGTAGAAAGATAATGATTAGCACACCTTACTTTTACTCTGACCTGTGAAACCTTAAAGCGTTACTTGTGCTATGATACTACATTTTTAGTGAAGAAAAAAACCCCACAAAAATCTTATCTTGGTATAACTTTTCACATAATTTAGAAAGCATTTTAAAGCCAAACCACTTGTAAGTTTGAAAACATAGAACTTCCCCCTCTTTGGACATATTCCATCTTCTTCACCTATGCTGGAAAACTACCCCTTTCTTATTTCTTACTACTTACTAAGAAAACCTTTTAACTGCTTTCATAAAAGAAGCCAGTGATTCAGAGTCTTGTGAATCATGTGTGTGGTCTTATATACCTAGTCAAGAAGCTCTTGGTAGTCTAACAACGTATCAGGGCATACATTTATAGCACACCAGACAATATTTCACTTAGGAGGAGATCTCTTTAAGCTGAGTTGGAAATCTGGATAAACATTTGTTCAGCCTCTGTTCTCTACACTTTCGTCTAAGACAATGACATGGATAATAAATTGAAAGAGTCTTTTTTTTTTAAAGATTTATTTATTTATTTATACAGGCACTGGGTACAGTCAGAAGCGTGGGAGGGTGAGAGAATTCACCAGAGCCAGAGCGGGGAACAGAACAGGCAGACTGACGAAGAAATACACTGTTGAGGGGAGCAGTGGCCCGCGGCAGGAGAGGTCTGTCGCATCATGTGGGACCCCCCGCCGGGGGCTGGGGATTGAACCAGCACTGCAGAGGCTGCAGGCAGCTTCGCAGCCCAGCACTCAACCACTGTGCCACCAGGGGAGGCCCTAAATTGAGAGTCTTATCAGAGAACAAGATTATAAGCAGCTTCTGACTTAATGGCCAAAACTCTGTAATCATTTCAAGAACAATTCTCATTTTCTTTGGTCATCTATCAGAAACACAAGGTACTCTTGTGCTAATAGAACAATTGAGACCATCCTCAGTCATGCTGGAAAATCGTTCAATAAAAGAAATGACATGCACCATATTTGAAAGCTTTTAACAGAATTCAAGAAAAACCCAGAAATTGTAATTTTTTTTAAATAGGCTGGAGATGATCTTCGTCAGGATATGCTTGTTCTACAGATTGTTCAAGTGATGGACAATATTTGGCTGCAAGAGGGCCTGGACATGCAAATGATCATTTATAGATGTCTATCCACAGGAAAAGGCCAAGGTCAGTATACAGCAAAGAGTGGGTTTACTTACATTTCTTATGTCATACATTTAATGGTCATAGATTTTAGTTTAAGCTATAAATTAGGAAATCCATAGTACTATATATAGTCATTCTTTAAAAAAAAAAGAATTATTTTCAAAAAGATAAGACAAAATAATTTATGAAATATGAAATATCCTTTTAGATCTTAATTAGGATTCAAATTCCAAATGTTAACTGTGATGTTCTTTTGTGTGTCTTTTTGTTTTTGTTGTTAATGTTTAATTACATTAAGCAACTATTTTCTCTTTTTTTCTACCATACTAATAGAAAATCTACTCATTCCAAAAATATAGTTGTTGCCTAGTAACACAAAATTTACAAAGTCTAAACCTGCATTTACTTTCTAAAAGACTTTTGAATAAAGTATAAGATCAAGAGTCAATAATGACCACACATGTACACTTAGACTATATTTCAGCAATTATATGTCTTTGTAAAAGCCAAGACATTACTATGGAAATAGAATTACATTTATACACATTTCCAATGACAACAATGTCTATGATCCACACAAATTATTATCAAAACGTAAAAGATGTCTTTAATTATAATCATGCTACATTGAAGAGGATATCTGATAATTTTTTTTACATGTGGTATTACCACGAGCAGTTTCAATAAATTTATTGAGAGATATATATATACCAATATACATATATATACAACTATATATATATATATATATATATATATATATATATATATCAGATACATGTACATAAACAAATGGATTTAAAAGTAAACCAAAGAACTGGAATATTGGAACAGGGGCCTAGACAATATGGTTTTTGGGTTTTGTTTTGTTTTTGTGAGTCAGAGAGACCTATAATTAAGTCCATCATCACAAAAGAAAAGCTGTCCTTGCTTGGACCCCCAGTTGCTGAGGTCCTACCAGTAGCCTCAGTACTCTGGCCAATTGTGACAAGAGATTTATAAACTAAGCACGGAAGCAAGCACCTCTTAGCTTAACTTGCCACTTAATACTCCAGGATGACTCTATTACAAGTCATACTAACCAATTATTTTGATTCTGATATTAAGGCTCTTGCTTCCATGCCAAGTGGCCCACCCCTGAATCCTTTCTAAGCTCTAGTTCCTAAGTCTTTTATCATCATTACTCTGAGATCATTATTCCTTGAGTTAGACTCTCCCTTTCCTCCCATAAGTGACCTAGTTCTTTCATACCCTGATGTGTTGAAAGAGTAAAGCTAACGCTCAGATGAGCCAAGCTGAACACTTGATATCAAATGGATCTCCTTTTCTTTAGAAACTGAATATAACACAGACCTTAACGAAATTCTTCAATTCCATCTACTCATTTTTCAGTTTATAGTCACAGCATGTAACCAAGGCTAAATCTTTTAAAGTTAATAAAATGATTCAGCAAAAGTGATTGTAAATTTGCCCAGAGTTGCAGATGTCAAAGGATAAGCAAGTTATTGCCCTCCCAACCCCCATTTACAACCTTCTATAGTTATATAAGATTTCAGAGATATTTTTATATTAGCAAAAACTTCTTCAAGAAAAAAGAAAATGTGATTGTTAAGAGAGCATGTTCCAGGGCTTACTGAATATCTCTGTTCTGAAAAAAATGTCACAGAGTGAGGTAGGGAATAATAAAATGAACTAAACAGAGTTGCTACCCTTATGGAGAGTATAGTCCAGGCCTGAAGTTTATTGACTATCAACATTATTGTTTTTTTTTTTTAAAAAAAGATTTATTTATTTATTTATTTATTTATACAAGCACTGGGTACAGTCAAAAGCGTGGGAGGGTGAGAGAATTCACCAGAGCCAGAGCGGAGAGCAGAGCAGGCAGACGGACCGAAGTACACTGCTGAGGGGTGCAGCGGGCGGCAGGAGAGGTCTTTGCACCATGTGGGACCCTCGCCAGGGGCCGGGGATTGAACTGGCGCTGCAGAGGCTACGGGCAGCTTTGCAACCCAACGCTCAACCGCTGCGCCACCGGGGAGGCCCTCAACATTATTGTTGATGATGATTTTCAAAACCACTTTGTATATGATGTTCTAGGGACTTTGGGAGAGGCTATGAGGGGAAATAAAAAATATTTAAGATTTTTTTAATTTCTGATTTTCAAACTCAGATGAGCATTAAAAATTCTTAGGAGAACTGGAGCAGCAGATGGAAGTAAGCCTCTCCAGGTTAAATAACTCAGGTTCTACTCTGGGGAAGGCTTTGAGTAATGGTAATGGCAAATATTGCTCAGGTGTTTCTTATGCACCCCTGTTTGAGGGCCACTTCCTTATACTGAAAAGTTTTGTCCCTTAAGAACCTTGCTACTTTAAGTGTGACTCCTGAACTAGCAGCATAGAAATGACATAGAAATGCACTTCACTAGAAATGCAGACTCTCATATCCTGCCCCTACTGTACTGAATAAGAGCCTTCATCTTAACAATATCCCCCAAGTGGTAGATATGTAGGTGCAACTCTGCATTAGAGGAATATAAGAATGGAATTACCTGTTACTCAATAAACACAGAATTCTGTTAGAAGTTTTTAAAAGGTGTATGCTACATACTAGCTTAAACTGGATAAAAATGTAATTTATGGTTTTTAATTAGTGGGCAGAATTTAGTCACCATGTTGTTATAAATTAGGTGAAAGATTTTCTGGGTTGTCAGCAATGCAAGACTATGATAAATTGCTTGGGATTTGACAAAGATTAACTCCCTGAAGACAAAATGTGGTCTGAAAAGTAACTGGCATGGCTATAGCACAGTGTCTAATGGTGCAGTAATTCAAGTCCCAATTTTGGGCATGGGCAGATGTGAGGTGGCAATGAACAGTCAGGAAACAGGTAAAAGGTGTTCTTCTAAGAAAGTATTAAATGGAAGAGCTGGAAAAGTGAGGGAAAATCAGGTTTAGAAAAAGGAAGCATCTATTGACACTAAACGTGAGGTTTCACATTTGCTATCTCACACATAGCACATTAAAAAAATAAAAAAAATAAACTGCACCAGGATCCAAGCACAGTTTGGAGAAGTAGGAAAAGTACTGTGATATTAAGAATACACTCAGGACTTATCTCTGGCATGTGAAGTGACTTACTGAGCCAGCAATGCAGATGCTTATTATCACAACCAGGCTACTGGATATTGAGAGATTAAGGCTACAGCCCACTGCCACTGACCAAGTCCAGCATATACATGTGTTTCATTTACCATCACTCAGATCTGCTTGTTCTTGTTTAAGGTAGATCATGAAATAGTCAAAATTTTTTTAATATATCCTCTTTTATTTTTTTTATTTTTTATCATTTTTTATTTTTTACATCATTGTTCATTTTTAAACAATATTTGCTCCCCCCACCCCCTCAGGTGTAGTCCCTATAGAATTTCCTTCCCCAATGCACCTGTGCATCATCACCTCAGTCCCCTGTGCTCCTCCCTCCCTCCCTCTGATCCCTCTCCCTCCTCCTCCCCTGCAGCATGTCTCTGATTTATAATTGTCTGTTTTTGCTTTTTTGGGTTTTGTACCATTATTTTTTTTACACTGATGTCTTATTTGGTTCCCCTATATTCCTGCTTTAAGTGAAAGCTTTATAATCAGGGAAATGCATATCAAAACCAAATTGAGATACCACCTTACATCAGTAAGAATGGCACATATCAAAAAAAAAAAAAAAAAACTAGCAACAACAAATGTTGGCGAGTATGTGGTGAAAAAGAACTTTCCTACATTGCTGGTGGGAGTGCAAACTGGTCCAACCACCATGGAAAGCTGTGTGAAGGTTCCTCAGTCTACTAAAAATGGAGCTACCATATGACCCAGAAATAGTCAATTTAAAAACTCAACCACATCTCTTTTCATATGGTTATGTTTCTATGCCTGATCCCTTTGGACATTTATGTTTTCAGCTCTCAGAATTGTCAAGATTGTGGAAATTCTAGACTTTAGTTTCTTCCAATGACTTTACAAGTTTGGGGAAGTTTTATACAATGGATTTAAGTTGCTGACCTGGACAGCATAAAAATCAGAAGGCCTGAAAATATTTACATTCCAATAAATTTGGAAACACAACGAAAAGAAGTCTTGGTGGTTATAATATGGCCAGTGTTGGAAAGGCCCTCTTGAAGTGCCATCAAAAAGTGCTACCGGGCCTCCCTGGTGGCCCAGGGGTGAAAGATAGCACCATCAAGCTATCCCCAGCCTCTGCAGCAGGAGTTTGATCCCCTGTAACCAGAAAGGAAAGCCCATGGCACAGCAGACCTCTCTTGCCTCTCCTGCTGCTCCCCTCAGCATTGTATTTCAGTAGATCTACATGTTCTGCTCCCCTCTCTCACCCCCTGCACCGCTGGCCTGTACCCCAGTTCTTGTATGCATAAATAAATCTTTAACAACACCGAGTTATTCTGTTCACTCCCAGAAATAAAATATTAACAGTGAAGGTTTGGTTAACTTGAACATTGATTTCTTAGATGTTTTTTAAAGTATTTGTTATGGATATTGTATTTGGGTAACTTACATCATAAAGATGTTTCTTATATAAGCTTGAAAGTCCTCCCCAAAACTGTAGGTGAATGTGTCAGTCAAATGCTAATTAACCCATTTACTCTATTGACTCTGTGGGGCTGCTGTCAGATCTAGGTTGGTTTGCTACTGTAGTTCTAGAAAAAATATTAAAGATGCTTCTAATAGATATGATCCAAACATAACAAGTAGTCACATTGCTCCACAAGGTTTAGGAAACATTAGAATGAAGACCATCAATTAAAACTCCTTCAGGTAAGAAGGTCTGGAAATGAAAAGGTTAACCCAAGTAGTGGCACTGTTGTTACCCAGATCAAGCTGTATTTCCTAAGTATGCCTCATTCTGCAAAGAAAGATTTCCATAATCTTTTTTCTATCAATCAGGATTGGTGGAGATGGTGCCAGATGCTGTTACCCTAGCAAAGATCCATCGCCATTCTGGACTGATTGGACCATTGAAAGAAAATACAATCAAAAAGTGGTTCAGTCACCATAACCACTTAAAGGTGGATTATGAAAAGGTTTGCACTGTTGGAGCCAATTTTAAATAATGTGCTTAAATAATAATATGATCTGGTTCATTAAATATTCTTATTTATGAAGATATACTATGAGAAAATACACCTGGAGTTCTAATTCACTTAGTCATCAGTCTGATAATAATAACTCAGTTTAAATGGTATATTAACTATATACAAATTTCTAAAAAATTGATTTTCCTTCTGGGTGAAATTCTGGGCTCTTGATTCTTATCTCTTTGTTTAGCTGACTTCATTACAGGAATCTCACCTGAGATGATGCTCCTTAAAACTACCTCTTTCAAGTTACCTCACCTGTTTGTTCATAATCTCCAATTTAAATAAATATTTCTTGGCCTCCCCGGTGGCGCAGCGGTTGAGCGCTGGGTTGCGAAGCTGCCCGCAGCCTCTGCAGCGCCGGTTCGATCCCTGGCTGCTCCCCGGCCACCGGAGGAGGGTCCCACATGGCGCGCAGACCTCTCCTGCCGCCCGCTGCTCCCCTCAGCAGTGTACTTCGGTCCTTCTGCCTGCTCTGCTCCCCGCTCTGGCTCTGGTGAATTCTCTCACCCTCCCGCGCTTCTGACTGTACCCAGTGCTTGTATAAATAAATAAAAAATAAATCTTTAAAAAAAAAAAAAAATAAAAAAAAAAATAAATAAATAAATATTTCTTGTTCCTTTGCAATACATTTCTTCTATCATGCTCTACTTTTTCATGCCTGCCTCTTTCAATATTTGCATAATGCATATAAAGTTCATATATATATATATATTTATGGCAATTATATGAGATTTACGAGATTATCTTAAAATCACCTTTTTAGTCATTCTGCAAATTATAATGAGTTATATTGTTTGAGGTATTTCCACATATATTTATTCTTCATAGCCACTCTGCAAATTATAATGAGTTATATTGTTTGAGGTATTTCCACATACATTTATTCTTCACAGCCACCACATGAAAGACATATTTGATCATCTTTATAAATGAAGAAAATCTAGAAGGACAAATTGAGTTGCTCAGGCACCTGGATCTCAGGTGTCTTGACATTTAGCACAGTCACATAAATTCCCACTGCAGCCAGTCAGCCACATCATGCCAGGAGACTCATAACCAGGGCCCAACCAATCAATCATGGTTACACAGTGGTTATACTTAAGTTTCATCGATGATGAAAACATTATACACAGAGGAGACCATTTTGAAAACAAGCATAATTCTGGCAAGAAACCTCTGCTTTATAAATATATGGCACAGTTGTCTTAGTGGTGACCTGCTACCTGACAGCTTCTCCATTCACACAGTATTCACTGATAATACACACTATAGTAAAACACCTTTGGGCATCCAACTATATCACTTATTTGTAAGGATAAATGAGAAACTCGATGACTATCTCAATATAGCTTTTCCTTTGTACACAAAATTCAAATATTCAAAAATTGAGATCTTTATTTTCCCTGAAGCTAGACTCATTAGGCCATATTTATTGTTTTACCTTGAAAAAAAAATTCAGTATTGTGTATTTGTAGGATTCCTTGCTAGTAAAACTATGAAAATAAATTCCAACCAAATGAGATATTTCCCCCAATTTCAATAAGAATAGAATATTCGCCTACTAGACTAGGATCAATTGCTTTATGTTCTCCTGCAGCATATAAGAAACATTTATCCATATCCTTCTCTCCATTGATATACAGAGGTTGCTTTTGATTATGCAATTTTGTTTTTTAATCATAATTTTTACCATTGACTCTGATGCAAATGTATTTCTTCATTTGTGTGTGTGTGTTATTTTCAACTGATTAGGCCTTGAAGAACTTTTTCTATTCCTGTGCTGGCTGGTGTGTAGTAACGTTCATCTTGGGAGTCTGTGACCGCCACAATGATAATATAATGCTGACAAAGTCAGGCCACATGTTTCATATTGACTTTGGAAAATTCTTGGGCCATGCACAAACATTTGGAGGGATAAAAAGGTCAGTGCACAAATAATGTTTATTATTATAATTAAGGAATGTCCTAGAACACTATATAATGTGTAATGGCATAAAAGCTCAACAGCTGACTTGCTTCCCCTCTTTCAAATCCCTCAAAATAACATAAACCTGATTATATTTAATAAATGAAGGAAAGATTTTTTTCAAATGATTATTAATAGAATAAATCAGATTTTTCAAATTGTTAGTTGACTAAATTGGCGTTCTCCCAGGGTATACTAATCCTGTTCCAGTCTGAATTGTCTGAAGTATAATATTTTTGGGTCTTTTAATAAATCTGAATGAACAATGAGTTATGATTTCATGGTCTCTAGACATCTGCTATATTGCCCGTAACAGTCAACACCCCCTAGTCCACATATCATAAACCCAGCCAATTCTCCCTGGACTGAATTAACCTTGCATCCCTCCAAAAATATTTAGTAAGCACCTACCATTCAAGCCACTTTGGATACAACAGCAATTTTGAGTAAGGCTGGCAGACATTAAAATGTTAACATGAAAAGAAATACTATGAGGAAATGAGTTATTTAGTTTCTTATTAGAAACTGAAACAGAGAAATGGGATAGGAAATGACTGGGGCAGGGTGACTATTTTAAAGAGGCTTCTGGAAAAGATGAGAAAGATCTGTGTAAGAGTGAACATCTCATTGACATCTGTGAGTATTATATTCCAGAAGCAAGAACAGCAAAAGTAATAGCACAAGAAATGGAAATAACCATGGCAGGTTCCAATGACAATGAAAAGGCTTGGTACCAGGAGGGGGAGGTAATGGTGGGAAGACAATAGGTGGCAAAGGTGCAGAGTTTGGTGGAAGCCAGATTAAGTAGGATACCGAGGACATAGTATGGAGGTTGGCATTTACTTTAAATTCAGGGACAAACCACTGATAGATTTCAATGTATTTCAAAGCCCTCTCATGCTGCCCCGTGAAGTAATGAGGCCAGTTAGGAGGATACTGCAATAATTAGGGCAAGACCTTAAATATAATGAAGTAGAAACTGAGAGACTTAGAACATATATTGGAGTCAGAGTCACAGGATCAACTAATTGATTGGACACCGGCATTGATTAAGGGTTAGGGAAGGGATCCTGGCAAGCAGGAAAAGAAAACATTCAAGGATGACTTCTGGATTTTCAGTCTCAGCAAACAGTTGTATCATTTACTGAAACAGAAAAGACTAGTGGATGAATAGGTTTTGTTTTGTTTTATTTGTGGAAATAAGGAAACCAGAAGTTCAAGATGAAAAATCCCTTCCTTTAAAAAGATACTTCATATTAAAGTAGAAATTCAATCAGACATTTCCAAAAGCTAATTAGCCAGTTTTAGCTAAAACAGCTTCTCAATAGAAGAGGTAATAATGTCTCCTACAGGTAATGTCATGAACTTTCACCAGATGATCATGATCTGGTATTAAAATGCCAAGATACATAATATACATAATACATAATATGCAAAATACATAATGTGGTTTAATTCCTGTAAACAGGTATCTCCTATTTTGTAGAGGCATACAAATGGAATTGTTTCACTTTTTATTACTTTCAGTACATAGATGTCCACAATGAATAACCTCAGGAGAGTTACTATATAGTTGTACTTCCTTAAGCATCCACTGAGGATGGTCTGTGTGCCAAGAACCATGAGAAACAAAAAAGTAAATATTGATAGTATCCATTTACCACTTCAGTGGGGTTGCTCTTTCTTTAGAAGGCTGGGAATACAGACCCATAATTACTCTAAAATGTACTAAGTACAGAACTAGAAAGATGTGTGAACTATTCTAACATCTGAAGCAGAGATACCTAGTATGTGGAGAACAAATACTAATTAACTACAAATATTAATTTACTCACATAACACTTTTTCCTATAATCCAGTTTCTGAAAAATGTAAGAATTAGATTACAATGTTACATCTTTATCTTTTATTTTGCTGTATTGTCCACCAGGAATCCAGATTAACCCTAATTCATTTATTCAGCCAGCAGCTGTATTGACCATAGGAATGGTTAAAAATGAACAGTTCTACAGAAGAAGTTCCAGCTGGGGAGGCACAGAAAGTAAAAGACAAGTTACTAAAGACAAGTTTAACAGAGATATATATCAGGGTGTATAGAAAAGATGGAGCCCGATTCGTTTGTTGATGTTATAGTAGCTACTGCAACTTCTATAGCAGGACAATTTAAATTTTTTCCTACGCAAACATAAAAAGTAAATTAAAATGTGCTCCACATGGAGCCTCACTGTTCTTGTTTGCTGAATTAATCATTCAATAAGTTGTTCCCATTCATAAGTAAGTCCTCAGCAATTCAATAATTATTGATTGGATGAATGACAACCAAGTTGACACTGTCTTCCTTTGAAATGATTGGTTATTGACAACGGCAGTGCTATGATGTATTTAGGTAGCAGTTTGCAAGATTTTATCTCCACAATGACTCTGGTAGGCTCATTAGCAATGTCTCCTTTGAATTTTTATTATTATTATTTTTAATATTTTATTTTATGTAATTCTTACATCATTTTTCATCTTTGTACAATGTATGCATTTTCATTTTGGTTATATTCCCCATACAATTGCACCCCCCCTTATTTTGACTCTAGTTCTTCCTCTCCCCTCCCCTCCCTAATCCCTCCACACCCCCGTAGTGTGTCTCTGGTTTATAGTTGCTTGTTGATTTTGATTATTACTTTGCATTGATTAGTCTTTTTCCTGGTCTCTTATTTAGGTTTTCTAAATTCCTGCTATGAGTGAGACTATCCGGTATTTTTCTTTTTCTTTCTGACTTATTTCGCTGAGCATGATCCCTTCTAGCTCCATCCATGTTGCTGCAAACTGCATGTGTTTATCTTTTTTGATTGCTGAGTAATATTACATTGTGTCTCCTTGGAATTCTTTCTTGACACTGATACTCCTGCCCTAAGTTTGTTTATGGTTAAATTGAACTATGCCTACTCACTATTACTATGTATTTTTATTTGTAGTTAATATCTAATAATTTTCCTCCAATCCTCTTTCATTTGTTTCTGGAGTTCATTGAATGTTGTTTCCTAAGACAGCTGATTTCTTGCATCCTAGGTTCATTTCTTGTTCTAATTAGCTGCTAGATAGACAAAGGACCTTTTATAAATAGGGTATCTATATTCCCCTAGGATGAATGAACATTCTTATTTGTTCTACACTTATTATAGATCTGGATTTAGAGAAAAGTCTATCTCCACCTAGCTCTTATGCCATACTAGACCTTAAAAAAATGTACTGTATAAAACCAAGTATGTAAATCATGCCCTAGGACTATTCTAATCTCCCATAATCTTCCCAACCTACATAGCGCTCCAGTAATAACCAAGGATCATACTTAACATACACGCTGCACCTACTGGAAGTATAGAGCACATGTATCCCAGACACATGTGTTTCTTCTATTCTCTACTTCTTAAAAATATGGAGAGGGAAAGCACTTGTATAAATTTTTAATGCTTTCTAAAATATCACTAACTTGTATTAACTAATTTCACTTCATAATTGAATCATTTATATCATTGCTCTACCTCACTTATAGAGTAGTTTCCAATTGCAGATGGGGTATAGGTTGGCAAAAAGAAATATCGCACCCGCATACACACAACACGCACACACACACACACCCCTACCTCTGTAACTCTGTAAGTGCAGATTTAGCTCTTAGGCATGGATACAGGAACTTTTTTTTTTTAATAATAAATTTTATTTTTATATTCCCCATACAATTGCAGCCCCCCCATTCTGACCCCAATCCCTCCCCTCCCGCCCCAGCCCCCCTAAAAGTGTCTCTGGTTCATAGTTTTTTGTTGATTTTGATTTTCACTTTCTTATAGTTATTCATTTTCCTGGTCCCTTATTTAAGTATTCTAGATTCCTACTATGAGTGAGACCATCCGGTATTTTTCTTTTTCTTTTTGGCTTATTTCGCTGAGCATGATCCCTTCCAGCGCCATCCATGTTGCTGCAAATTGCATGTGTTTATCTTTTTTGAATGCTGAGTAATATTCCATGGTATATATGTACCACATCTTCTTGATCCAGTCATCTATTTTTGGGCATTTGGGTTGTTTCCAAAGCTTAGCTATTGTAAACAGTGCTGCTATAAACATAGGGGTGCAGGTGTTCTTTGGAATTGATGTTTCTGTGTCCTTTGGGTAAATACCTAGGAGTGGAATTGCTGGATCATATGGGAGCTCTATGTTTAGTAAGTCCAGAAATCTCCACACAGCTCTCCAGTGGTTGGACCAGTTTGCACTCCCACCAACAGTGCAGAAGAGTTCCTTTTTCTCCACAACCTTGCCAACATTTGTTGTTGCTAGTTTTTTAATATGTGCCATTCTCACTGGTGTAAGATGGTATCTCATGGTAGTTTTGATTTGCATTTCCCTGATGACAAGTGATGTTGAACATTTTTCATATACCTGTTGGCCATTTGCATTTCCTCTTCAGAGAAGTTTCTTTTTAGCTCTTCTGCCCATTTTTTGACTGGATTCTTTTCTTTGTTGTTGTTGAGTCTCATCAGCTCTTTGAAGATTTTTGTGATCAGTCCTTTATCATTAGTGTTGGGTGCAAAAATGTTCTCCCAGTTGGTGGAGTTTCTCTTTGTTTTTGTTATTGTCTCTTTTGCTGTGCAGAAGCTCTTTAATTTGATGTAGTCCCAGCTGTTTATCTTTGCCTTCACTATCACTGCTTGGGTGATGTGTCTGTAAAGATGTCTTTGATGTGCAAATCACGTAGTGTTTCGCCTATATTTCCTTCTATATATTTTATGGTTTCAGGTCTTATGTCTAGTTCTTTAATCCATTTTGAGTTGATTTTTGTGTATGGTGTGAGGTAGTGGTCAAGCTTCATTCTTTTGCATGTAGCGACCCAGTTTTCCCAGCACCATTTATTGAACAAACTTTCTTTGCTCCAATGCATAGTCTTTGCTCCTTTGTCAAAGATTAGTTG